ACAAATTGCAATCGATGGTGGACGGTGGATGGTGTGCATGGGTGGATGCTCTCAACAAAAATGATCCACAGCCATCGAAATGACATCGAGAAAAGTGCAAAGAAAAAAGCAAAGAGAGAAAGAGAGAAGGAGCGGCAAGAGAGATGTTCGTGTTTTATGTGCGAAATTCAAGATTTTCCACATTTCATTTCTATTTGCAGCCATAACCATTGACAATAATATCATCTCCGTTTATTTTAATTATTCATTGGCCTCACTCTCGCTCACTTCAACTCGCACTTCTCTCTACTTCTTTTATCTAATAAAAACTAATAAAAACCAAATTAAATAATTTGTACTGATGACAAAATAAATGGTGTGTTGCTGCTGCGAGAAGAACAATGGACGTATTACGGCGACGGATGGGGTTTTTAGCGTTGTATGAATGAGGGTCGTACACGCACGAGGGTTACATTCAATTAAACGGCACGATCATGATGTGCGCGCGTTTTGTGTTGATGATGCCTGGAAAAAAGGTATTAAAATTCATTTTATTGTCATTTGACAAATAGACAATTTTACAGAACACATACTCATCGCCCGCGCAGATGCATGCATACACACAGCGTCGAAAGAGTTTCACGGCTATCATTCAACAATATTCGATTCTGCGAATGGCCTGGATAACTTTGGTTTCATATGTTGCTCGTACACAGCATCAAATCATTTTATTAGATTTAGCATAATCCCACCGACGTCGAAAAAATTACGCGCAGCCGAATTTTCATTAAAAATCCTCTACACACTCTCATGAAGAAGCAAAAAAAAATACTCACAGTGAAATAAAGTGTTCAAAACTATCATCCATAAAAATGAGGAACGTGTAATTGGCTAGAGATTGTTTTGAATTAGTGGATTTTGATGGTCTTGTGTACGTTTTTTCTTTCTCTATTCTTTGCTCTGCTCTGCTGCATGGTACTTTTATTATTAAATTGTAGATGCTGACTTATCTTTCGTCGACCCAAATTCTTTGAACCATTCAAAATCCGGCATCTAAATTGAGTGTATAAGCAAGGCTTGGAAATTTATTAAAAATAATTTACCCACTTCCGGGGGAAAGTATCTCAACAGTGTGTTTTTAGCATATGCACCGTGATATTAGATTTGCTATGTTCGGCTATGTCACCGATTTAAAGGATGCGGACATTGCTTGATATTTATATTTTAGCTGCTTTCTTCTGCTTTCGCCAAAGGTTCTATTCGTACTTCATAATTGCATGTAGCATCACAATTTGGTCGTTTTGCTGTGTGTTTAGCAGCAGCGTGTTTCTTTCACTTCAACTACTGTTGCTCGTGCTGCTGTCGATCTATTCAACGATGGTCCCGAGATGAAATGTCTATTTAAATAACCGTGTAGAACATCCATAATATGGAGAGTGAGGTGATATGCAATGCGTTGCTTGGTTCGAGTTTTTTTTATCGAGACTTGCTTTTACCAATGTTTTTTTTGCTCATTCTCCGTTTGCAATTTTATTTGAAGTTTTTTCGTTATAATACCGTCGCCGTGCACACGAAAATACAATACATTGACACGGTTTTATTTTAAATTTTCTGCGACCGTGCAACAATGGTTTCTTTTCTGTGAATTTTCCAAGCGCTTTTGTGCCTTTTCTATCGCTATTTTTGTCGGCGCATTGTTGCAGAAGAAAACTTTTCCATATGTAAAAGCAAAAGGGCCATATTTTACATCCAACGATACAAATAAAGTCTATTTTTTTTCATTTAACCGAGATAAAAATATTTTGTTTAAAAAATAAATCGTTAAAAATATCACACAATTGAGGAGCGGGACGTGACAATTGAAATTCATTCTCGTTATTCATTGGGGCAATTTCCAGCTAAGAAAATGTAAAAGCAAAAAGGGTTAACACACAAATCATTTGCACGACTTGAAATAATTGGAAAAATCGAATCTTCTAGAAAAAATTGAAATATAATTGAATTTGTTTAACGAAAATCAAATAAACTCGTATATTCAATCCGATAATTGTCCACGAAATGAGTTCAATTTTGAAAATGGAATTTTCGAAGAACTGCTCTTTAAAATGGTTCAATTCGATTTGTTTTCGCAGTTGGAAAAGGTTTGATTTTGTTTGCAAAACTACCGTATCGTTTACTCTCTCTCTCCCTCCTTCTCTCGGCGTGCACTTGTTTCCTCTCCTATCTATCTACTTGTATTTTCACTTCAACACAGAGCACTCGAGTAATTTATGCATAGATAAACACTTCGGTACGGTTCAAGTGTTAAGATTAAACGTTTCGGGTGAAATTACATTTATTGCAAAACCAAATAATAAGAGTATGTAGCACAGAGGGTCTAACGATTCGTTTTGTTCATTCATGTGCGTTGATTTCTTTTCAGCAGCGAGTCAGAGATAGATAGAGTGAATGAGACAGAGAGCATTGCAATAAAATCCACACTCACCAAAGTTGTAATATGTTTTGGGATCCTTCGTGTTAGTGCACATATAGTGCAAGGGCCGCTGCCGACGACGTCACTGTGAGGTAAAATATATCATGCGTTACGTCTAAACATTGAACAATGGACCGAAACGTATTTATTACAAGTAGTCAACAATAGATTATCAACAAATAAATTGTCTTTTATGACGGATATATTCGGGTGCAGGACGACAGGAATGGGAACAACACACACACACATATATATGTATAGCTACTCGAAATGCAAGACGATGGCGATATTGAAGGGGGTGCAAAAAATTTTATATTACGATTTGTGCCGATGTGCGTGTGTGTGTGTGTGTGTGTGTGTGTGGCGTTTTCCCTTTGAATTGGTTTCGGTGTTTTTTGTACTTGTTCATTCAATTGCTCGAACATGATGCAATTGAATTCATTTGTGATAACCGAAAACATATTGTTTTTCATTATGTCGTTTGTGCCTCTTCACCCATTTCGATCTATCATAAAGGCAGGCATAAGTTGGCAAGTGGGCCACAGAGCTAAAATGTCATTCAAATATACAAATGTTTTTTTTCTACTTTTGCCATACACAGCTCCATTTCTCTATCTCTACCACTCTTCTGTCCCTCTTGCTCACTTTCTATTGCTCTTTCTCAATTTGTCAAAAAAGCAGTCGGTTGCCATCGATGCTAGTTTTTCAACTCAAACGGTTACGCATCCAAAGCTGACAATAAAATGTGTACGTATATGTAATAGAAAACCAAGAAGGGGTTCCACCTGTTTGTAGCCGTTATTTGATTTGGTTTTGTATTGTCGTTGCTATTGTTGTTTCGGTCAAAATGAATTTTATTAAAAATGCAAACAAAGACAAGGCCGACGATGATGATATTGGTTGCAAACAGGTTTTGTTCTTATTATTGTTGTTGCAGTCGGGCTGACAAAAATAAGGGGAAACGGTAGTGTTAAGCCGGGGAAAATTTACCAACTAAATGTGTGTAAATTGCAAACAATGATATTATATTTGTTGAATTTAGTTTGTTTGCCGGTTAGAAACGCATTCTGCCCAACAATATTGTGAACATACGCTCGAGCCACGCACGAGCCCCGAGTTCAAAAAGGGAGAGAAAGAGAGTCGTCGTCGTCGACAAGGAATATCGGGATGGATATGGTTGTAAAAGTGAAGAGTCGAGAAGTCATCGTTTTTATTTGATTTTCAATTATATGAGCAGAACACAAGAGGATACGGTGTGTGTGTGAGAGAGAGAGAGGGAGGGAGCGAGACGATTATCCGGCATTTATTTTTGCTTTATCTCTCGCTTCGCTTGTCTCCCGACTCCGTTTCCATTATTGGCATTTATTCGGTATTTATTAGATTTTTTTTCTCCTTTGGTGGTGGCGATGATGTTGTTGGACTGCAGTCGGATATGTCGAGGGGAAAAGGTTTATTAATTTTCTTCTTTTTTATGATTAATTGAACTGAATGAAATGTTATGCTTTCATTTAATCGCTTTGATCGGATTGAATTATGCACACGAGACGAATTATTGCCACGAAATTCTTCTTCTTTTTTTTTTGTTTTTTTTTATTCTCTTCACCATCGCACAAAATCGCAGGATGCATCAACTATCAAGTATACAAAAATGCAGAAATTCTATTCAAGTAGATACCGCAGATATTAAATAAGTAGAGACATTCTTTTCGATTTTAAATGAACATAAAAAATGCCTACCATTTCAAAAGGGACTCTCAACAATTCATCTTCAATCGTTCACAGCAATGAAAACGGAGATTCCACCTGAACCGATTCTTTTTTTCACTTTTTTTGCGCAATCAAACATACATTTTTTAAACAACGAAATGCATCCGTGAGTTCGGACTAAATATTTTAATTAAATGTTTAATTTTTATTTTGTGAAAGGTTCACGATTTTCTCTTCCCAAGTTCTCAGATTTAAATTTTTCCTCCAAATTTTCATAGAATTCTATGAATGAGCGAGTGAGTGCGGACTAAATCTGCAAAGAAGAAACACATTTTTTAAACGGTGAACATCGGTACACTTTCAAATACATTTTCATATGTGTATTTTACATTAGAAAATGTGTGCAATTCGTGCTGTTTACATCTTTACTTTTTCACAAAGAAATCATTTATAAAATCTTAAATCAAGTTCGGCACATTGAAAACTTTAATTATTTTAGCAAGGCTGAGCCGTTGTACAAGGAAGTATTAAACGTAAAATCGAAGTAGGAATCGATTTTTATGCAAACAAATATGTCGAATTTACTTGAAAGCTTTTAATTATTGGTAAAAATAAATGGTTAGATCCGGAAAATAAGTTGAATTTTCACATACTTCATATTTCTTATTCTCAAGAATCAATTTATGTTACATCTGCTTCGAAACAAATAAAAAGCGAAGAAAAAAAAATCATAATTGAAGTGAGCGCCATCTGATACGTAATGCCAAAGACTAAAACTGTGGTTTTGTGCTTCGATACATTCGTTTGAATACTCAAAACCTCGACTGTCAGTGTATGTACTAAAACCTCAATGGAACAGCCGATTTGAGGTTATGTTCACCAAATCGTAAACAATCGAAAGATAGTTTGAAAGCAACGCACCAGATCCATCAGTAAGTTGGTAAGAAAAAGAAAACAACGAAATATTCAAAGTATAGGCAAAATGATTGAAAATTGTTCTTGAAGATTTTAGGTTGAACCAGAGCATTGGTACAAAAAAAATGTCATCGACTCAAAGCGAACCAGTGCCATCGACTGGCAATGACGGTGCAACAATTGAGAAAGTGGAGAGTCGCTGGAAGACGCATTACTTCACGGCCGAGATATCCGAAGAGATTTTCACATTCCGTGTGCTGAAAATGGCTCAATCGCTATTGATTTACATCGGTCAACTGGAAAACGAGTCGTTGGACGAGTTGGCAATGGCCGTACCGGTGGAAGATTTCGTCAGCACAACAATCATTGGAACGGTTCACGGTTGTGATTCACAAGAATTGGCACAACAGTTTACGCGTCGTCTAAAAAAGCAGATCTTCATAAGCTGCAATGTCACATCGAATAATCTCACTCGTGTAATGCTCGTGAAACGAATTGCCGAGGAAATGAAAAATGTCCCCGATGCTTTTTGATTGTTATTTCCGTATTGAAAATAAAAGAAAAACATACATATTTTCTTAAGCCAAGAAACGCATATTTTTTTCGCATTCAATCGACCAACATTAAAAGTTATGTGCTCACGCCCAAAACAAGCGCTTACTTCCTTTGAACCACAGCCGGTTTAGTTTGTATCGGAAGTTTGATTGCCGTAATTGAACGAGAAATGACACAAATGCAAGAGCAGAATGAAACACACACTGCTAATACAATGAAATGCCCTTTTTCGTGCGATAATTTACTTTGCTCGAGACAGTCAGCCAACCAGCCAGTGTACACAGTGGCCGTGTTCCGTTTTACGCTACATTTGTCAACAAAATGAAATCAAAATTGCTTCAAGCGACTAACACACTTTCTTTTGATTCGACTTCCGATGTCATCGTTTCAATTTCATGCGCATATCAAATGGCAAGAAAAAAAAACGCGAATACAGTAAAACCAACCAAATTGGCAGTCTCATGATAATGGTAAATCATGTTTAGTGAACGCAGAATGAAACGGAAAATATCACCGAAACGGTCATTCGCAGAGACACATTTTTTTTCCTGTTCGGCATGTGTGCTGATCAGTCATTCGGATGCATAAAAAGGTATGGCACCGAAACCGAAAATGAAAACCATTCGGTGTGTTTGGTGTATATTGTTGAACGAGCGGTGAGATGGCCGTGCGCGCATTATTTTCTAAATATGTGCGCGAGTGTGTGTCCCAATGCGGAAATTCGAGCTCATAATATTTTTTGCATCAAAGCGCTAAAAATGAGGTAATGACCACAGCAACAGCTAGCGCGGTAAACTACTTGAAAAACGACGACACACACACGGCTAAGGCTATATTATACCATAATTGCATTATACGCATCGCTTCATTTCTCTATGGTTTTTCAATTGCCCAGCACCATTGCTGCTGATGCTGCTGCTGCTGCTGCTTCACGCGCAACTTGTTTTATCGACAAATGTGGCGTTTGCTACTGCTGTGACTGCTTTTTGACCGTCGCGCGGTCTGTGTATGTTTTGCCGTTGCACACAAAATCTCAATGAGAAAGAGAGTGAGATGCTTTCGCGCAAAAGACAAATGTCTGTTAAATATTCGTGTGTACATTATTATTAAATACTGTATCTCATTCCGCTCGCTATGGTCGTAGTGAATTTATGTAGATGTTAAAGTCGTCGAATTCGTTTGCCTTGCCGCGCGATCATATCATCACACTTTCATTTCATTAACATTTACTGCGTCGGCCGTTTTTCTTTCTTTCTTTCTTTCTGTCCAAGTACGAAACGATAACACTAATAAAATCAAGAGAGCGACTAAAGTGTTGTAGTGCACTTTATTTTGTTGCGGCGCGCGCACTCAATTTTTTAATGATGGAAAATTAATAGTTTACAGGAAGAACAGCAACCAGAGCGCGCGCTCGCACACCTTACCGCACACATAACAGTTCAAATAGAAATAAGGAAACTAAAACCAATTTGAAAATTGTAACAAACACCCATCGCCATATCGAAATGGTAACAAAATCCAATTTAGTCAACCATTTCTTGGAATTGTTTGCTTCGTTTTTGGTCTTTGATGCAGTTAATTCATGGTTTCGACGCCTGGCTTCCCGATTGAAAGAAGAAAACAAATAACAACAACAATCTTACCAACGCACATAACAATCTAGTGTTTGCTGTAAAAAAAACCATTATACATTTTTGGTAAAGAAGTCTTACTCCATTTTTAAACGCAAGTACAATATGTTTAGACTTGGGATTGTATTCAATTCTTGGACTGGTCAAGTAGGCATTTGCCAGCTTTTTTCACGACAATTTTTTTCCGACCAAATCTTTGAAAATCATACTCATTTATTCTGTCTAAATCACAGCTGTGGTTTTTAAATATTAACCGGAATGTCGACGGTTTAACGTTTGTTTGCTCTTTCAGTCATTAAAAACGAATAAAATGATGACAAATAATTGAAAAATTGAATAAAGACGAGTTTTAAGGAAAATTCAAGACTTATCCGTTTTTATGTTTGGATGTATTTATAATCATCGTTTTAAATTAATGGGCGGCAAAATTGACGATACAAGAAGCAATGGCATCATCATTTATTTCGAAGACGATTTCCCCAAACCATTTTACCCGATGAAAATGACTTGGAATTCTTTTGACGTTTAACGACAAGCCACTCAAATACTGCACAAACGCATTGTTTTTATACATGTTTAAAAACCGACGATATAGGCACAATAGATGTGGTGACAAAATTTGTATTCGATGCGCATGCTTCATTTTAACACAAGATATTTTCGTTTCTATTCCATTCATACGAAGTGATTAACACTGTACTGATGCCTGGGCAAAAAAAATGGTTCATCTTCGATGCAGTTGGATGATCAGGTTTTAATATATGTTGTTTTTATGGAAAAGTTCATTCGATTCAAATATCATCACATTCCACGTCCAATATCATCATTTCCAATACCCATACGTCAATCGAGTGTTAACTTTTTCGATGGAGTCTTGCTTTTGAAATAAAAACACAAGAGTTTCGCGGAGTTGGTTTTTTTTTTTTCATTTTGTTTGGCCTGCCGTTTTTTATGTTCGTTGCGCGTTCATTAATTCATTGATTTCGCTTAGCTGTGAAAGCGAGATCATCAGATTCACATTACGTTTCGGTGTAATTTTAAATTAAGCATCATTTCAATGTCAAGTGCAAACCAACAATGAACAACTCCAAACCAAACGAATGAGAAAGAAAAAACAGCAGCAGCAGCAAGAGAAGAAGAAGCAACAGCAAAAAAGCAGTTCCCAAAATCCTGAAATAAATGCAAATTGAGGTGCGAGCTCGATCTCACGCGAAAAAAAAAATGAACAACAGAAGAAACGAATTGCGAAGACGATTCGAAAAACGATGAATAAATTGCGCAATAAAAAATTAATCCGTAATTATGAATGTCGAATTCTGCATTCAAGAGAATCGAAACGAGCACAGTCAGAGTCCGAGTTAAACACGTAGAAAAAAATTCGCAGCAGTAGCAGCAGACGGAACACGAATCAGTCGAAGCTGCTGAATATTCATAGGGGCACACTGGCGTAGAACGAATCAAAAACTGGCGATGAACAACAACGACGACGACGACGACGACGACGACGAAAAGCGTATTTCAAGCACGTGTTATGTTGGGTTTTTCTCATCTGCCAATATTAGAGTGATTTTCTCTCTGTGTGTCTCTCTCCCTCACTCCCTCGATACGTTGCGTTTATTCAATTAAATCGACTGGAATTGGATGATCGTCGTGATTTTTGTTCGAACTTAATCTTTCTTTCATTCTGATCGCTCACGCGCGCTAGAACATTGCGAGAGTGGCGCACTACGTATCGCGTTTGTTGAGGTTCGTAATTACATAAGAATTAATTTGGTCGTCAATAGAGAATCAACGAGCAATTGAGATTGGCATTAGAATAGTGAATGATAGCACAAGTCGCAATAAATATGCTCGACAACAATAAATAGCGCGCACATTTTTTTCCTACTCTCATTTGGCGCTTGCAAAAACGAAGAAGAACAACAATAAGTATCAACAGATTTATTGCTCGGCTGGTTAACAGTCAATGTAACGTAATGTTGGCGTTACTTTTCCACTCACTCACACACACTCATACACACACCGAATCGCAATAACAGCAGCGATCACACGTAATTTGATCATCATTTTATCAATCAATCTAAAAAGCGCGCTATTTATAGCATCATCGACGATGATCGGCGCCCCGCTCGATTTGAATCACATCGATTCGTTTAATTAGATACGCCATCAACACACAATATTCACTCATTTTGTGTGCTCACATTTTACACTTTTATCTGATTCGACATCTCGTCTGGCTGACGCTTTTCTCTGTGTCTCGCGATTGCATTTTCTTCACGGTGTGCAGTGTGTTTTTCGCTCTCTGCTTCTTATTTATGGTGCCCATTAAAAGAGTTGCGGTAAGCGAGAAAAAAAACCAGAACAATTTATTGGCCAGTTTTTTTTTCGGGACGCGATGTTTTGAAAGTAAAAACATGGAATAAGTCACAGAGAGCAACACAGAATATGGTGACGACATCGATATGCAATAATTATATTATGCCACGGCGGCGTGAACTCACTGTGCTTGTTATTTTTTTTTTCCTTCTATGCTGTTGCTGTTTTTTTTTTACCTCGTTTTTGTTCCCAAGAAGTGGAAGTTGGTGTCTTGTTTTGAATCTAGATTTCTAGAGCAAATAAAATGCGATTGTCACGAAAAATTCAACACATTTATGATTATGCTTGCTATTATTTACTTTTTTTGTGAATTTTTGATGAAACTCATTTTTTTCCGGTAAGTATTTTCCGCACATCGTAAGAAGAAGAAGAAAAAAATAGACAGAGGTGATTCGACCAAGTGAACTGCTTGATGATCGTTGTGCTCAACTTTATGTTCTTTTTTTTGGGGGGGGGGGGGGGGGAAACAGATTTGGCCCAATTCGGTAGCTGTGAGCCGCCACGGCTGTTGTTAGCAAATGACTTTCTTTCTCATGTAATAGATTTAGTTCATCATTAAAATAACCTGCCACATCGAATGAAATAGATCAACAACAACAGATCACATATTTAATAATTGCCGAAGTCATCAGCCGACTCACTTGTATTTAGTTCATGTGATTCATTTTTTTTCTCTCTCCCATGAATGCTTTGATCGTTCGCATCGAACCACATTTTTATGCCCATTTGTGAGCCGTATGTACACGATCTGACCGAAATCAGCATGATTTTCGAAAACAACCGAATTGGTGAGAATTCGAGGAAAAAAGTTCATTGAATTAGTACACTTATTTGGCTACGGCTATGGATCTCTAATGTCATGACTGGCATTCCGTTGTGCATAAAGTGGAAAATCATCAGAAGTTTTGCGAATCAGACAAAGATAAAAAAAAAATCCAAATTCGCCTTATACACGTAAGATAATGGATGATTTCGGATGGATTACATTGTCATTGTTGCTAATCGAATGAGCGCGTCTCTATTCTTCATTCAGGTTCTCCGCCATCATTTCTTTTCCGTCTTCGAAACGCGTTTTTCATTTGCCCGATTTTTCTTTGTCTTCTGTCGTTCATTCGAGTCTTTTTGTTCGCATTGCTTTGTTTGGATGCTTCATTTTTCGTGTGTTGCCTAGTGGCAGCAGTTTCTCAGCTCTTTCTCGGTGAGTAATTTCTGAACTAGCGTGATCGTATTGGATAATCACGTACCATTCTTACATCACACACGCAAGTTGCGTCGCTGATAAATCCATCGATTATGTGTGTCTCGTTTAGTCACAGTTTTCCATATTGGTGCGTGTATTTTCACCATACACATAAAATCCCAAACCAATGACATTTCATTACACCTTCGCTATTGCCTGATGCATTTCCTTACTCGCACTCGAAATTGATTAAATGCCATTTGAGCTGAACAAATGTCTAGCATTCCACACCAATGATGCAATAATTGTTTTGCGTGAAAAACACAGTGTGAATTAGACACAATCATTTTTTCCCCACCGATTCATTCGATGTGAAATGAGTGTCACATTTTCCAAAAAATTAGAATTCGTAAGAATATGAAAATTGATATTATATTGTAATCGACTTCGACAAAAAGAAACACACACAAAATTTGGAAATTATCTAATTTTCCACATGGCTAAGTGGCAAAAGCAAAGCACCGTTTCGCACCGTAAACTCGAACTCAATCAATCATAAGTGGTTCATATGACATAATATAACAGTTTTTGCGCTTAGTCTCTCTCATACACACACATTTCAGGTTAATGTTCAATTAAATACGCAACTATTAACAACACATTGGTATTTCAAGTGCAAAAAGATAGTATGTGTTATAATTTGAATTTGGCTTTCTACACCGTGATTTTACCGAGTGTGTGAGAGATGAAAAAAAAAAACCTACAAAGAAAATTGATTGGTGCAAGAAAAAAGCGCTGCCAAGAGAACGCATTCGTTTGCTCGATCGCGTACACATTGCGCTTTTTCTATTGATTTTTCCTGCGAATACAATGGCAAAGTGAAACATAAGCAAAAATCTTATGCGAAATGGAAAATTGCCGATGAAGTCATTCAACGATCAAGTACATATTTTTTTTGTCGTTGTTTAGTCGAGATCGACCGATGTGACGCAAAACAATTAACCATCACAAACTGGTTTTGTAGCCGCTGTGATATTTGCGTTTTCGGTGAATGAAACGGAAAGCCAGAGATTAGTTAAGCCCACAGATAAAAAGAAAAAAATCTTGCACTTTTCCGTGGACTGGCTAGCGAGTGAGCGGGTTCAGGCTTGCCCTCTCGTCACACTAAACGATGCCCAAGTGCAGCGATTCCAGCGGCGTCGTTCACTATCTTCTATCAAATAATCGCTAGTTGTCCGACACAAATGAGTTGTGCTCTTGCTGCCGCTGGTTTTTTTCTGCATTTCTTTCCTTTCGTCGTCTGTGCCCAGTTTCATACTGTTTGAGAGAAGAAGAAAAAAATCCTGCTCATAATTTGATTCGCTTAATTCGGAATTAGACTTCGATTTATCGATACAATGCACAACTGCATAAAGCAAGATGGAAAACAAAACAGAGAAAAAAACGTGACGACGACAAGCTGTTCAACCGCATAAAGTGAAAACAAAAGGAATCGTAAGAAAACGGTATACGCGCTCGCGTAATTTTTTAATATTCGATGAAATAATGCAATCAAAGATGGCTTTTTGATCGCGCTTCTTTCTTCACTACTTATTACATTCATTTGAGGCCCGGCAACATAAAAACAACAACAACTGTAAGAGAGAAAAGAAGAAAATAGCGTTGGAATAACGAGAAACAATACATATTGATTTAATGTATAACGGTGAGGCTACTCATGGCTCGCGAATCGATTGAACCGCAAATGATTTGTGTTGATAAAGTGTGTGCGAGAGATGGAGAGAAATTATATCTGGAGAGGTTGTAAGTGTGATATTTATGCGTGCGTTAGCGTTTTGATGCGAACGACTTTGCTTTTGTTGCACAGTTAACGCTTCAAAGATATGATGGCAATAAGATTAACGGAAAGAAGTATGTACAAAAAATTGTTCAAGTTTTTTTATTCTCTGTTTTTGTTGCTGCTGCTGCTGCTGCTGCTGTTCTGCGCCACTCAAATTGAATGGAAATGATTCTTGGATTTGGTGTGATTTTGATGGTTCTATTGAAACGATTAACTGTGACTCGTACGAAGTTCGTCGCTTAGAAAATCATTTGAAATCAAAAGAAAATCATAAGAAACCAAGATGTGTCGTTTGTTTTGCAAGCATGAATTTTTGCGATGCATGATATGTCAATGTGAATTGAATTTGACGTGGAAAATCTGGGTGTAAAAACGAGGGAAATTCATTCCGTAATTCAAAACCACTGAACTGGTTTATTTGTTCGAAAATGAGTCGTTTATTGTCACAAATTCATTAAAGGCTTTGATTCCAAAGCTTTCGCAAATGTACGAACACGCGCGATGTTTGCCATGCAAACGAAATTAGTGGGTTCCAATGTAATCAAATTGCAATTTCCATTTTTGAAATATTTCATTTCATCATTCCACACACATTTCTAGTGTACTGGTCATCATTGTCACGCGCCAAACTCCACTCTGATGTAGGCAAAGCCATTCTATATCTTTTATCTGACAAATGCAACGGTAATATTCAAGCACTCAATTCCGAAAAAACGTCAAAGGCACAAAGTGAAATGTTGGAAAACATTGTGCCGATTTTTGATGGAACGTTGATCTTCTACATCTTTTATTCGCTGGCGAGTGTCTGTATGTTTGGGTTTTGCATGCAGCAGTCGCAGCAGCCGCAGCAGCAGCAGCAGCATCGCGTCGATAATCACATTCGAACTGAAATGCATTTATCTAATGAATACACTTAGCGCGTACAATGCAATAACGGCGTCGTGTTGTAAAAGAAAGCGTGAAATGTTACAATTTTTCCTCAGCCCAGTCATCATCATCGATCGAACTGAAGGTAATTAACTTACTCGAGCGTGTTTTTTGATATCGTGCGCCTCTCTCTCTCTCTCTCTCTTTCTCCATGTTTATGTCTCTCTCCGTGTGTGTATGGGCATTGTTAGCTGGAACAAAAGTGGCCAATGTTGAAAGTGCTCTTCAGTTTGGTGTCTTTTTGTTTCTTTCTGGGAAAAGAATTGCATACCGAATGCACTGTCCATTTGACTGGAATAAAGAATGTATTAGCCTGTATTTCGATGTACACGGTTTTGTTTTCGCTCGCCGTTTTGTTTTCTTCTTCTCTCTTTGTTTTGAATAGCAATGGATTTGTTATGGAAGAAAGCACCTGCATCGTATGTGTTTGTGTGAGCGCGCGCAAATAAAATCGAAAGTACAATTTTTCTTTCAATGAACAAGTTGTCAATATTTAATGCAGTATGCTGCAAGCTCTCTCGCGTTGCTTGTTTGCAGTGCATTTCTTCTAGTTTCCGCTTTTGTTTTTACCTCTGTATGGGCACGTGTGTGTGTGTGTTTCAAAATGAATGCTTTTTTCGAATACATTGTCGAAATTGATTTTGGTAGATGTTTTGGCGCACAATCACATCCAATCCGAGCCACGTACATCGACAGTAAGACAGTCGCTCATACTTACCAAAAACCCAAACAGACGAAGACGTAAGAAAAATACAAACGGGGAACAAAATAAACACACAAAGAGAATCGGTGTGGCGGCAAATAGCAAAATCAGCCGTAAATCCACACAAATCATATTACGCACCAAAAATATGTGTGCTCAAGCGATCGCTTGCGCTCGCTGCCATTCCTATAAAACACTACGACCACAACAGCGACTCGTTCATTTGTCTGGTAGTCGGCATAGACATAAGATCGCTAATAAAGCCAATTGTGAGAGCGCCACATTTCGCTTTCAATCACCACGTTCGACCGGAGTGTGTTCGTTTGTTGTTCAAGTAACTTGGACTTGGATTTATTTTGTGCGAATTAATTTATTTTTCTTCTACAATTGTGCATTGGAAAAATATAGGCCATATACATATATCGCGTGTGTTTTCAATTACAATTACATAATACGAGGAATAAACCAATAATCCATATTACACGCAATCCCAAAAAATTATTATCGATAAACATAAGAACGCATTTTTATGCACAACTAATGAACTGATACAACAACAGAAATAAAATAATTGAAAAAAAAAATCGTTGTGGTGCTTTGATTTTGTTAACGTGAAAAATAGACAAAAAAAAACAAATTCAGGTGCATATCGCAGTTCCAGTGGAACGAAGCAAAGAAATAGGTCAAACACCATGAAGCTATCAGTGTCGAATATATTCCGCTTTGTAAGTGTCTCTCGATTATCACATTTTACCATTTAAAAAAAAACGAAGAACAAACGCCAAGATTAAGGACACCAAAATTTATTCAAAGTGAATTTAACTCGCATGGAATTCAAAGTCATTCAACAATTGAATCTTCTTACTTTTGACTAAATTTCCATGCACAACAGATTTCTATTGTTGCGCGCAAATTACCAAAATGAACTCTATTTTTTCTTTCGCAACGGGCCTTTTAACACATCTCACATCTCAATGATAATAATGATGCGCACGGATACAGTATACGATGGGAAATGTTACACATGAAATGAACAGCAAACAATACACATTATGTCTTCAATGTACATCATTTCAAATGTTTCAAGTTCAATATTTGATTGTGTTTTGCACAAAGTGTGTGTGAAAAAGAGAAATAAGCATAAACAAACTGGATAATTACAATGACTTTTTAACGTGATTTATCTAAATTACTTTACACCTTCAATAACAACAAAACAAATGAGTACATGCAAAAGAAGCCATTTTTCTATCAAATTTTGTTTTCATTTCGGAGATAGAATTGATGTTATTTACATTTGTGCAACTTGGGGCGCTAGGATTAATAATACATCTATGCGATCAAGCTCAACACCTTTTCAATCATGAAATGATGAAAAATCATTTGTTTTGATCGATTGAATTTCATAAGAAGCATGAAATTTTGACTAAAATTATTAGCCCCAAAGAATGATTTTTTTTCGGGAAATTTTCGTCGAATATCGATTTTTGTCAAGAAAGAAAGAGCTAAAGGATGAAAAAATTAAAGAGTGTTGAAGAAGTAGACAGAATTAGTCCTTTTGAGAATATACGTCCTTTGCAAGAATATACGCTTTTTTGCACTTTCAATGAGTTGAGCGATTTGTTTGCACACTTCAAATTTTTTTGCTTTCGAATCATCGAAGAGGATGCTGTGTGTTACTGGAACACAATTTGCGTATTTAGAATTGTTTCACGTGATTTGCACTGAACTTGGATCTTCTTGATCGATAAAAGTACCCAACAATGGCGCATACTATAATAAATAAAACGATGGAGGTCTTACCTTACTACGCATTTCAGAAACCAGTTTGGATTCTTACAATTTATTGGCAACGTTTTGTCTTTTCAACAACAACGGCGACATAAAAAAAAAAGTGACGCGATTCCAGAATTAGCAGGCGAGAGAGAAAGAGGGAGAGAGACGAAAAAAGCAAACCAATCCAAATCTAGAACGTTTTTGCACATGACTTTTAATGGTCCGGCGGTGGTTTTGAGTTTCCATTGTTTGTTTGATCATTGATTGTTTTCAAGTGGCTCACCTTCGCTATTTATTGATAATAAATGCAAACGTTTTTTTTTTAATAACAAATCATTATGCACATACACGTGTGTGTGTGTGTGTGCGGCGCGCTAAACATAGCCGCGTTGAATGAATGAGCTCATTTGCATATACGACTTTGATGCGAATAAGAATAAGAATATTACAAACGTATAAATCAAATTCACATCGATAAGCATCAAACGAACGGACAGATTTGCATTGGATTATTTTGATCGAAGTTTTTTTGTTTCTTTCGAATTTGAAAACGCAATGTGCTTGCTCCCTGTGAAATTTATGACCGATCGATTTGGTTGGTTATTACTCAAAATTGACCTAAAATGCTGAATCATGAAGTGCACTCATATTATTTTTAGCCATAATACTGCAGATGAATATGTAGATTCGATTTAAGATTTGCATGCAATTTTTTTGTTATTGATAAAAGTAATTAATTCCATTGAAATCTCTCATTTAAAGGTGGCCATCATTGGAACACTGTGTCTCGTGCAATCGTCACCGGTCAAAGTGAGTCGACCGCAAGCGATTACCGCAGCCAATTTGACACAGGAACAGGTTGATACGATAATTCAAGTGAGTCCATCGAGAGCGTCGATTTTACAGCAAAGCGATCAATTCTTACCGCCATCGATTCCATTGTACTTACCGGATCCCGAACGAAACAAGAGCAAAGATGATTTCTATTTGCTGACTGCATATCCACGTGACGATGAGAAATCGGACGATACACCGGTAAAGGTTCCATTATCATTGGATTCATATGTCCGACCACCGCCGTTACCGAGCCTCGACTCCAGCCCAATCAATTTCCAAGTGGAACAAGCGGAAAAAGAGAAATCATCGTATTCGTACAACAATCGATATGATTACTATTTCCCTGTTAAAGTTGTGTACGACGACAATCAAAAGTATGCGGAAAAAGAATTGCAATTGATGGAAATGCAGCCACCATCATTTCAAAGTGATGAACCAAATTACTATGAAATCAAACCGAAGAAAGTGCCGAAAAAATACCAACCGAATAAAAAAGATGTGAACCATAGCAAATCGTATGGACGTGACGACGAAAACGGTGATCGCCTCGTTCCAATTGATAACGACGGTTTGGTTTTGGACAATGAGCACACTCCGTTTGTTACATCACAACCGGTTGAACGTTTCGCACCAGCACCATCGTATCGTGATTTGACCGATGACGATTTGAATACGGGCGAATACATTCCGAAATATAAGCAGGAGCAAAATACGGAAGCCATTCAAGTGAACATTGGATCGAGCACCATTGCAGCGGCCGGATCGGGAAAAATCGTACAAACACTACCACATCATGAATCAGGTGAATCAAAATCGAATGAACATGAGCATGAGAATGACAGTCGATCGAATGGAGCGGGTGACGATGATGGTGAAAATAATAACGATGATGATAATGATGATGATCAGGGTAGTGATAGTGGAACGGGTGGAACGGGTGAAACTAGCGAAACGGGTAAACGTGTTGAATTTCAAATGCATGGCTTCAAAGGACCAAATAGCTATAAATTCGGTTATGATACGGGTCTTGGGTAAAACAAAATGATGCTTAACTTTTCTTTTCCTCCTCTTTTTATCTACAATTGCACGGCAAACCTTTGCCGTTTCAAGAGAGACCTTTTCAGCACAACGACAATAACACTTTAATATTTTTTTTTCATTTTCCAAGAACACGAGACACTTTTTCGTTGCAATTCGATTAGCAGCACAATTTTACAACACCGAATTCTGCAATTCACTCCGTTTATCCCCACCTGCACTGATCATTCTGCTGGTTGATCCGCAAATGTTTCTTTTTGTTTTCTATTTAATTTTTTCGTTGAATTTTTTTTTTGTTGATTTCATTTTTTTCAAAAAAAACATCAGAAAATAATGCAAATGTTTTTTCGTTTCATTTCAACTGGCACATTTGCAGCAAGGAACGTCAATTTCGGGTTGAACAGCGCGAAACTGACGGCAGTGTAAAAGGTGAATATGGTTACATCGATGAAAATGGCAAGATGCATCTAACCAAATACAGTGCATCGGAAGCGGAAGGCTTTAAAGCCGAACAAGTACCTACATAATATGCGATCACACATACACACATTCACTGTGGTTTTTTCACACAGCAAATTAGCAGCAAACCAATTGTGAACAGAACAGAAACAAACAAACAAATAAAACCAATCACCAGTTTTAGAGCAACACTTTTTTTTGTAACAAAATAGTAACGAATTTTAGACAATTGTACGCGCTTTAGTTTATTTTTAATTATTATTAATATAATATGTTTCTTATGTTTTAGCTTAATGACAATAAAAAAAGATGAAAAATTCCAAAGAATAACAGGTGCAATGTTTTCTTATGGTCCAGTGTTTTGCCCTGTGAGGCAGAAGAGTTTACATGTGTTTTTCAGAGTTGGTGTTGACCGTTTTTTCGATGTCATCCAATAGGCCAGAGGCCCCGAAACGGAAGAGATGTGGTTGAAGCCATTCATTGCCCAATGTCGATTTGATCATTGTCATCCAGGCGATTGCATCCTTTACGGTTCTCACGCCACCAGCTGGCTTGAATCCGATTTTACGCTGGGTCGCTTTGTAAAAGGCTTCAATGGCACGAATCATAACGAGGCCAACGGGCAGTGTGGCATTCACGGCTTCTTTTCCGGTGGACGTTTTTATGAAATCCGATCCGGCCATCATTGCTACCATCGATGCTTTATACACATTTTCAAAAGTTCCCAGTTCACCAATAGCTAAAATTGTTTTCATATGCACCTTATCTCCGCAGGATTTTCGCATTTCGACAATTTCATCGTAGAGTTTTTTCCATTCGCCGCGCAACACCAAACTACGATCGATTACAATGTCAATTTCGGTTGCACCCTGCTCAATGGCATAGTGAATCTCTTGAAGACGTGAAGCCAATGGATATTGGCCCGTTGGAAAACCCGTCGCCACTGTAGGAATTTTAACATAGGAGATCTTGATTAGCATGAGAAATTCGACGAAAAGTCGAAAATTTAAAATGAAAATATTTTCACAAATCAAAATTTTGAAGGAGAATCAATGTGAAAATCTGAAATAAATCTGTAAAATAATCAAAGGTGAACAAAATAAGATTTAAAAATGTTAAAATACCAGCAGCGATTTCGATTTGTTGTCCCCCGTCGACAGCCTGGAGTGTTTCATAAGCATCATGCACACGGCTTGGATAGACACAAACAGCAGCCGTATGAATTTTGCTCTTAACATCTTTGTTAAGGAATCGCAATTCATGGTCGGTGAATGGGAATGCGGCACGAATGCAAAGCCGTCGAACATTGCTTGGTGTATCATCACCGGCCAATGTCGTCAAATCGGTCAATTGCAATGCTTTAATCGCCCAAACCACTTCGTTGACTCCACTCACTTGGCCGCAAGTTGAATAAAACTCGGCCGATTCTTGAACCGCTTTCAAACTAATATTCACATTTTGTAACCATTTAGGTGCTGCAATGAAAACATATTATGCTTTGAATATTATTTTATAACGAACTACACCGAAATGAATCCACTTACAATAATCGATTGGAGTATATGCACTAGCATGAACCATATTTGTAAAGTTTGAAACTTGATTTGAAAACTAATTAAACGCAACGGATCGTAATGTGTCTCCTCAACTGTTATCATCTACTGTTGTTTATCACCCATCGACTACATGTGTGTATGTGACTCTTTTGTGAACTTTCCACAATGATAACAAATTCAAGTCTCTCAGCTGTCAACGCGTACTAAAAACTCAACTCACAGCAAGTCACAGCTCTTTGTGATAGTTTATTCACCATAGAAAATCTCACATTCACAGCTGACAACACTTACCGCAACTAAATTTAGAATTGCCAAGAAAAAACGCTCGGATTTCATTCGATTTTTCAAAACTTTTATTTGTAATTGATTAATTTGTATTAATATTAAATTCATAAGTATGTACTCGTACTGCAACTTATTATTTTTTTCAACTTTTTTCCATTTTTTACAACTCGAATTCAGCTGATTTATTTTCTGTTACTGCATGGATAAAGTTTTATTTAGTAAAATAGATTTTTTGTTTGTTTGCAATGATGCGCCGTTTTGGTACTTAACTTTCCATTGCAATTTCTTTCTCTGGTCATCTCTTCACAGATTCCCCTTTTTTTGCTTAAATGATCTATCTGTTTTATACAATAAAAAAAAACATCGAATACGATTATCAAACACATTGCATTAATTGAAATAAAATGAGTTAAAATATATCTCTATATTTCTTTTTCATCTCTCTTCCAGTGCTTTTTTTTTCTTGTTTCCTTTTTCATGTCTTACAGGAAAAAAAAAATTCTTTCATGAAAAATATTACCTCGAAATATCCAAAAATTAAACACCTACATAAAGGAAACATTGAAAATTAATTCTAATTTTTTTTTTCAATTGGCACATTTTATGCACAACTCAAAGCAAAAAATGTTGTGATTTTCTCTTGCGGTTTTTTTTGAACGTTAGTTTTTTCTTTGTAAATTTATATATTAATTTTGAACGCTATAACGCGTTTTGAATTAGACACATCGGCTATTTATATGGCAGAAGTCCGGTGATATCGGGCGAAATGTAAAAAAAAAATCACTTTTGTCTCCACAAAATGTGTTGCATCTATTTGTTTCTTTAATTGCGTGAAGATGTTGCATTCAGTTGTGCATTAAATGTATCAAGTACTCTCTATCATCCTACTTTGTACATAATTATATTGCAATGAAAAGACATTTGGATAAAAAAAAGACACTGATAATCGATTCTACACAACGGCCCAATGTTTTTCAAAAATTGTTCGATTGAAATGTTGCCGCGATAAATAAAATTCGAAATTAATTTTGTGTGCCACCACCAAGAAGGAACCACCCTTCCTAGGCGATAAAAAAAAATTCAATAAGGATAAATGAAGAGCGATGGAAAATAACTCAATGAGAATTTTCAAATTAAATCAAGAAAATTAATGAAATTAACCCCGTTGGCTGCTTCAAATGAATTTACATATATCACATTAAAAACCATTGTCTCTCTTTCTTTTGGGCGTTTTAAAAAATAAACGAGATTTTGTGTGTTTCTTTATTTTAAATTTGAATGTTTTTTCATCTGCGAAAATTTCTTTTCTTTCTCTCTACTTGAAATACAGTATTAATAATTGGGCCTTACAACTAACATTGTTTGCATTGAAGAAATGATCTCTTACATCATACATCTTATCGATTTTATTGGCTTGTTTTGCTCGATCCTTCTTTTTTCAACTCCTTAGATTTTTTTTAAATAAATTTCTTTTCTCTTTCCTTTTTTTTCCATATCTTTTCTTACATTTAATGTCAAATGCTTTCGAAGCATAAATTAAATTGATGTTTTTTATTTTCCAAGTTTTTGTTTCCTCCTTCCATTTCGCATTTCAAATTACATTGAAATCACTCATTTCTGAAATGAAAATGGTTGTTTTTGATATCCAAGAGGTCATTTCCACCTTTCACATAATTTATTTGTATCACATTTTCGTTTTTTTTCCTTCCTTTTTTTACACTGCTCAATATCATTTTATCTCCTGCTTTGCAAATAATCGAAATCAATGTGTTGTAAATGACAAATCATTGGAATTGTCCGGTTTTTTCGGGACGAGAAAAAAAGTCTATGGTTTTGTATTCGATGTCTTCTTTTGTCGCTTGTCAAAATATTGCTTCGATCTGATCGATTATTAAATTGTACGGTGTTCTAGTCGTGTCATTTTTTCTCGTTGACAATGTGACATGCTCTGCTTTGCATCCCTAATTTTTTTGTTTTGCATTTAAATAGCGGAAATGTCTAGTTTCTCAATCGAAAATACTAAAAAAGCGACTTGGTATTTTGTTTTGTTGTTGTTTAACGACATCGAACGTTCTTAATAATTTTATTGGACGAAACCGTGTGTGTATATTTGTGTACGTGTCTGAGTTTTAGTTTATCTAAGGTACCCGCAATTTGTTATTTCTTTTTTATTCGGAACAAACATTGGAATAAACAAACAAAGAAAAACAAGACCATTGATGATTTAGAGCTGCCGACTCGTTGCAAAGCAAAAGCAAAAACTTCAAACCAATAAAAATAAATGAACAAACAAAAATGCAAGTTTAGAAAAGATAATTGTTATTTTTAATGAACCGAACAAAATTTTCTTTCCATCAAACATTGAATATATTCAATGCAATATCCAATTTTAAATTCTACCATTAAAATCCATTTGAAATTTTAATTTGAGAAAAAATTATTCATAATTTTTCGTTTTTGACATATAAACTGTTGCATTTCCAAATTTCCCAGATGGAATAAATATCAAAAATAATTTGTAGTTGAGATTAAATGATAAAAAATCCCGCTGTTGCTTTTGCGTAGATTTTTTGTTATGCTTGTCTGCTGTCCCAAGCGCGACTCCACACTTAGCTTCTAAATGTGACACCGTAGTAAGTGTGGGCATACGTTTTGCGAATAAGCGACAAAGAGAATGGAAACAAGTGCGCGTGTATTAGTCGCTACATTGAGAAGCATCGCATCAGGCTACTCACTACCACACGCGCACTTGTTTCCATTCTCTTTGTCGCTTATTCGCAAAACGT